TTAAAAATTTAAGTAATATTTAATATACCCCCAGAGGCCTCACTACATCTTCTCTTAAGAATTCCACAATTGAGCCCCAAACCCTACCTGTTAGACCAGTCAGTAGACATTGGGAGTTCTAAGTGTTAATAAGGAGAAAAACTACCATTTTAGACTCAAAGTTTATTTAAATTCCATATTCTTTTCTTAAAGACAAGGCCTTGCTATGTAGCTATATAACTATGTAGCATAGTCTGGTCTCAAACTTAGGATATTCCTGATTTAGCCTCCAAGTCCCAGGAATACAGGCCTGTACAATTACACCCAGGTTCACCTGGCCTCTTCATTCATTATGTAATCAATACTGTCCATCTCAAAAGCTCCATCTCTCCAGGACAATGACAGGATGTTCTGCAACAGGAGATGGAGCATCCAGCACACACAGAGCACTAATAGCATCTTTGCACAGAGAGGAGCATAGCAAACACCAGCCATTCTTGCCTCGTACCCATTTCTCATTTGGGTCTTCATAAGTCAACAGCAAGCTAATGTTTTACTATCTGAAAAAAGTTATTTGAAAGATTTTCCTAGGTGCTGGAGATGTGAGTCAGTGGTAGGACACTCGCCAAGCATGAGCAAGGCCCTGGGGTTGATCCCCAGCACCAGGAAAAAAAAAAAAATTACATGTAAAAGTTCCTCTTGATGCTGTTTATAACAACAAAGATTGGTAGTAACTTCAATGTTCAACAGAGAGGAAAACACTAAACTCATAGAATGTGAAATTACAGAATCACTGTAAATGTTGCACACCATGAACTTTGTCATAGAAATATTAACATTAAGTAAAAAGCACAGACCACAGCTGGGTGTGGTGGTGCATGTCTGTAATTCTTGTTCTTGGGAGGTGAAGCTGGGAAGTTCAGGATCAAGGTCAATCTCAGCTACATAGTGAGTTCAAGGCCAGCAAAAGCTAAAGACACACAGTCTCAAAACAAACAACAACAACAAAAACCTAACAATATCAACAAACCCCAATAAAGACCACTACAAAATAAAAGGTTTAGCTTTTTTCTTTAAAAATATGCACATGAGAAAAACAGCCTGGAAATTTTCATTTTGAATATTTTTCAATTCTATAAAAAAGATTTTTTAAATTATGAAGTCTTTATGTTCAAGTTAAATAATCCAAGTATCAGGTAAACAAAAATGAAACTACAAAGCAAAATCCACAATATGATAACTATCAGATTTATTCTCACTTTGGTATTCACAAAAACAGGACAAAGAGCTGAATGGTTATTTCTGTTCCTTGTCAATTAAAAAAGTCTTATTTTTTTCTATGTATACTGCAAATCAGAGCAATTTCCTTTATTTTGCCCTCCCACATGTGTATGTGTGTGGTGTGTATATGTATGTGTATACACACACACATGCACACACAAAGGCTACAGCACACACATGCATAAATACCCAAAGCCATCCTCCTCTATTCCAAAGGGATTCATTCTTGCCTGAACTTCACTTAAATCTTTCTGAACAGATACCTTCCCCCTTTTTATTGGCTTTTTTGAGACAGTCTCCCATAACCCTGACTAGCTTCAAACTCAAAATATATCTGAGACAGACCTTAAACTACTGATGCTCTTGTCTCTGCCTCCCAAGTGCTGGGATTATAGGCATCTACCACCATGCCCATCTCGAACATATGTCCTTTATCTTTCTTCTTTTTTGTTTTTTTGGTAAGAGAGGTGCTGGAGACTCAATCCAGTACCTCCAGCATGTGTCCCATTACTGAACTATGTACTCTGGACTCTGAATGAATTAAATAAAAGTTCCCCACCGGGCTCAGTACAGTAATTTAAACAACATGTATGTGCTGCTCTGCCACCAAATTCTCAGAAGGAGAGATTCGTTAGACTAGTACATAATCTGGGTAGGCATTTTCTTTGGAATTAGAAGTAATGATTTAGAAATTAATTTTCTGCAGGGTGTGGTGGTGCACACCTGTAGTCCCAGCACTTGAGAGAGAGGTAGGTGGATCTTTGTGAATGCAAGGCCAGCCTGGTCTATATAGTGAGTTCCAGCTGGGCCTATAGAGAAACCCTGTTTCAAAAAGACCAAAAAAAAAAAAATTTTTTTTTCTTGTTTTTTTTAAACTTTTTTTTTTTTTATTTTATGTGTATGCGTGTATTGCCTGCATGTAGGTAAGTGCACCAGTGTCGTGCAATGACCGCAGAGGTCAAAAGAGGCTGCTGGATCCCCTAGGACTGGAATTACAGACAGTTGTTAGCTGCCATGTGGGTGCTGGGATTCAAACCCGGGTCTTCTGCAAGAAAAATGGGTGTTCTTAACCCTTGAGCCATCTCTCCAGCCCCTGTTATATGTGTCTATATGCAAATATCTGCATTGTATGGCATTTGGGGCTTCATTCTCAGGAAAAGGGAAATAATGTTAGTATGCAACAGGCATACAACATAAAAATATTTTGTATTGACAAGGGATATAAATCTGTCACTCCATGATCTGCTTAGATATTATCAACCACATGCTTCTGAGGTGTCACTGTGACAGGCTACCTAGAGAAACTGAAGGAGCTTTATTTACCCCTTTCTCAAAGTGGCCCTAGAGACCTATAGTTCACCACCTCTGACTACTCTAGCAGGATGAAAGCAGACTGAAACACAAGGAAGAAAGGTAGCAACAAGTGTTCCTTAGAAACAACTCCAAGAATGTGCTACAAGCCCTGTACCACTGAGCTACGCCCCCCCCCCCCCCCCCCCCCCCCCCCCCCCCCCCATTGTAAATACTACTTGAAACCAGGTCTAACATCATATCGGGCCTCACCTGACACCTCTTCTCAAAGCTCAATCTACCTGGCCCTTCCCCAAATCACACTGTATTTCTTATACCACTGTAAAGGCCAAAGCCAGACTGAGAACTCTAAATAGGAATTTTATGTTTCTCACAGATAAGAAATATAAGGTAAGGAGATGTGTGTGATCCTGAGGCAATCAGAAAGGTTCGTCATTCCCTGGAGAGGAACTTACTTTTATTCTCTAAGCAAACAAGCCCACTCAGGTTGGTGACGGATGGAGGGAAGGCGATTAACTGTTCATTTTTCCATTCCCCAGAAAGGAAAAGGGAGACAACCAGTAAAGGGGGTGAGTGTATCTTATCCCATGAGGTGTTTACATTTTTAAATCACTGCTCAATGTGTTTAAAAACGATCACATAATAAGTGATCGTTACGTCTTAAGTGTTACAGATTCCCCACCACCACCACTACTCACTGAAAATTACCACTAGATCCATTGGCTTGGCTTACACTCTCTACACAGGCCTCTAATATCCTACCTTCTTTAAAAATCAGTGAAACCCAAACCCTATATTATTTCTACTTCTTGAACTAGAACCAATTTGAAATTTCCAATCAAAACAACAGTCATTGTTGGGCTGGGGATGTCACCAAAAAACAAAAAAATCAAACAAAACTACCAACAACTACAAAAGGCCTACCACTGCTATGTTCAGCCACTACCACTCACAAAAAGGAATTTATCCAACATTTTAAATCCAGATTGTTGAGTCATTAAGAAGGACAAATTAAAGGAATTCTAGCCATTTTAATCCTCTTGCACCAAGACAGGGAATAGGATCCTATGAGAGATGAGACCTGGCAAAGAGAAGAATTTCACACAAGTCAGAAGATAACACAGGGACAAGCACTATTAAAGACCCTGAGAAGACAAGAAACCTTGGAGAGATGGAGCCTGGCAGGACAATGGTTCTTCTCATCAAGACCTGCTCCTGTGAAGCTCTAACAAGAATCACCCAAGAGAGTTGTAGGGAGAAGAAGGCATGGGAGAGGGCTCAGACAGAGCCCACGATAAATCAGGACTTCATTCATGGAAGTAAAAGTGGATCATTTTATCTATAAAGTAGGATCCCAAATGGGGGAAATGTGAGAACAAGACATTGCAAGAAAGGATGCTTGAAGGCCCGGGAGGACAAGCTCACAGCTGATGTGAAACAGATGGAAGCGCATTATAAACCTCTGGACACCAAGTATGAAAAAAAAAAAGCCTTTGGAAAGTTGACCCTCCACAGTTATTAAGTAGTAAGTTACAGTGGACCTTATTTCACCTAGAGAAATAAAAAACAGAAATTCTAGTTCTATTCTTTCCTAGTTAACTAACACTCTTCTTTGTTCCCTCTTTTAAACCACAAATGTGATGTTAAGTATTTTCTTAACATGCAGTCAAGATTTCCTTTCATGTGAAGTTTTATGTTAAGTTCAAAATCACTTTTCTAAGCTCATTCCAGAGGAACAGGAAAAACAACTTTCATCCTTCAAGCTGTGTCCAGGTAACATCTTTCAAGCTGTGTCCAGACCTGTTATATCACAGCAGTGCAGACAGTTTCATCCACACACACAACCCAATCAAGCACTGGCTTTCAGCAATCAACAATTTATTAACAGCTTAAAGCAGCATGAAGGCTAGAAACGCTTCCAAGAAACCACCAAGCCAAATGGATAAAGATTTTAAGACGTGAGATTTCTAAAGCTTGTCAAAATGTGCTCAATGACTAGCAACCACAGCTGGCTCTCACGGTAAAGAAAGCCATGAATTTTCCTTCAACTAGCAAAGATGCTACCAGTTTAACCAGTGCCTTTACAAAATACAATGAAAATGTTGAATATCATATATTAAAAACCAATGCCCTGGCCTTTTGTCACCTAAATGATTCTTTTTCTTTTTTAACCTAAAGAAAAAGTCTCTTCTCTTTTGCATCAGGTCACAATTATTCCTTGGTTTAATCATACTGGATTTCAATGACCAGCTACTAGGCTGCCATAAAGGCTAATTTCTACCTCAAGTGTCTGTGATATCACAGGGAAGGGACAACAGGGTACTGGCAAAGCCCCTTGGGCTCACAGTGATAAGCAGCAGCACCCACCCTGCCTCCCTTCCATTGTTTGGTCTCATTATTTCTCCCCTCAGGTAGGGAAACTATCTTACCGCTGATGTTAGACGGGCGAGAATTTCATCACTGCTTTCTTCTGCGTCTTCCATTTTCTGATGAGACCTTTGAAAAACAAATAACAAATTACTCTTTAACTTTAGTTGCTCAAATTTATCTACCAAATTATGTAAAGAACAACAACAAAAAAAAGGCACTGTCATTATGACAGGAAAGTATGCAAATATAATAACATTCCTATACCAGCAACCTGTACTCTGGAATCAATTAGCAAGTACCTCTTCACAATGAGCCAGATGAATCTAAGGACCAAGTGCTGCTCCCCAAGTGATATCACAGAATAACCCAACACACTCCATCTACAGACACTGACATGCACAAAAGTAAATGTGAACCTAAGGTAGTTAAGTGCTGAATTCCCCCGAATCTAAATGAAATTGTGAAATTACAAAATGTGAATTTTCCACTACATGTGGGTTTCAGCCCAAACAAATTCACTATGAAATGGTATATTTTAGGCCTAATTTCATAGTGGGAATTATGAGGAATACAAAAAACAGAACTTTGCTTTTTCAGGAAATCACAACCACGTGAAAAGTTAAAAAAAAAAAAAGTTATGCAAATGTCAAACTAATGAGGCACAGCAGTTTGTTTAGGAAAAAATCATCTTTTCACCTTAACTCATGAAAAAAGGCACTACATAAATCATTATGTAATAATATAAAATGTTTTACTTAAGCAAAAAATCTTACAAGTCTCATGTGGTCAAAGAAAAAAATGAATTACTGCCAAGCAAATACATAAAACTGTCTGCTAGATCTATTTCCACAAGCAATCCCTTTTAACGTGTCTTGTGTATGTGGAGGGATTCAGGATAATTGCTCTGCACAGCCCCATTATCAGAAATGCAGTGCAGTGACTGACTCCAGTCTCAAGAGCTGAGGCAGGCCATTTGGAGCACTCCCCTCAAAGGGCAGGAGGCCTCCTCCCAGGTCCCAACAGAACCGAGCGGGAATTCTCTTAAGAAGGGCTGAGCTATTTGATCAATTCTGGCATTGGTTTCTTGATTCTGTAAATGTTATTAAACCCCTTTTCAAAAAGAAAGTCACGTCCTCCATATCTAAGCAAGGCATCACAAGCCACTGCCTTTACAAGAACAGCAAGATGCTCAATTTGTCACTTGCCTTAATTGTTCAAATAGCAGCTAAATGTTTGAAATGCTCACTTTATAAAGACCTGCAGAGGATGACATTTTAACTTAGCAAATCTGTATAGGTCACCTGCATAGTGTTTTCAAACAAGCTTTATCATTAAAATTCTTGTTACCTTATAAAGGAAGCTATGGTGAGAAGAGAGTTGAACGTTACACAAACCAAACCACCAAACCAGCCTCATATGATTAGGCTAGGTGACTCAACAGATCTGACAGGAAATTAGCAACCAAGTACACCAGACAGCAGAGTACCGGCAAGGGCTGTGCCTTCATCTATCCATCTCTGCAGTAAAACTCTCGGTGCTCATGCCTTCTCATGCTTCTCAGACTCAAATAGACACATGAAATATTAGTTAATGGACATGACGCATTTTGCACCAGCACATATTCAGCTGTGAATCTGCTTTCAAAAAGCTGCTGAAAGGCATTGCAATTCAAGGGGAGCTAGTGTGACTGTGACTGGCGATGGTTATTTCATAAGAACAGCTGAGCTGTTGCTGCTTTAGTGAAAAATAATTCTATTCCTGTTCAGAGGCAGAACTATCTCTCATCATTCTTCCAAGACTCCTAGGCAAAAGCATTTCTAGAGGCAATAGGTGTGGGACAGACAGAGTGATGCTCTCCCTGGAGCTGGCTCACATCCCATGGCCCGCAGTCCATTTTTAGCTCCTCAGTCACCATGGCTTACAGGTTCACACCCAGAGCTCTCAGGTATTTCTCTAGCTTCAGAATCCCGCTCAGAATGCCTTGTTTCTCCACCTGCCTTCAAAGGGGACTCTGGTTATGAATTCTAGGAACTTGATTTTTATCCATCCAAATGGGGATGTTATAGAGGTTAGATGAATTAAGTCATACGGATTCTTCTTTCCTCCACTCCTCCTGGTGTCCTGGTACCCTGTGGCCATCCATCTTTCCTGCAATCACTGCCCCTGGCCAGCTCCCACATCCCTCAAATCCTTTCCTCCAGTTCTGCTTCTTTTGGTTCAGGCCCTCAACTTCTCTCAGATACTAACTATAACCACCTTCTAAAACACCGATTGGTTCTGATCTCTCTTACTGTCTAATCTCCTACAGACAGCAAGATTGCCTTTCTAAAACCCAGATCTGGACATGCTATTCCCAGATGCCATCTAAGCCTTCAGGGATTAGCTCCATTGTCTACCAGGAGCTGTAAAGTTCAGGAAAAGCTTTCCTTCCCTGCTAAAGGAGCCCCAAGCTCCCCTTCACTAAAATACTATGTGCATCTTATGGAACCTATGGAGTTCAGGGGAGCAAGACTGGTAATCACGGGCAAACAGTGGAACTTGAAAAGGAAGGAAGGGAAAAGGAGAAGGGGGGACACTCGCTCTTCTGTTCTTACCACCACGGCCACTTGGTTCCTCTACTCGGCTCTTTAACAAAATGCCCGGAAAGATCACATTTGCTTTCTACTACAAATGGATCATAAAATGTGAATAAATCTGATTTTGCATATGCAAATACACATCAGTGCAACTCAGGAGAGACAAAGTTTTCACTATCAGACTAAGTAGATAATGAACCAGATGGGGCAGAAAAGCATTTGTGTAAGATTTGTATAAAATATGCATTTTCCATCATTACCAGAACATACTATGCTGTTCGGTGAACATGAGAGGGGGAAAGAAGAAAAGTGAGAGAAGCTGTGGGTCTGGCTTGGCAGTCAGCAGAGAAAGGAAACAAAGACTCTGTGGCTGGAATCCACAGGTAATGACAGAAAAGTGACACAGACAGAAACCAATCTAAATAAAATCAGATATCCCTGGCTCTCTTTTCACAGTTTATTTTGATGATTTGAACATCAATGCTTACTACTTAATTAAGTAACTGCAGTTCAAATGTTAATACAAACAAGCACAAAAGTTCAATTTTTGCTAAAACTCCTATATTACTCTCAAATATAGATGTGCTCTGATAAAGATAAGAATCTGTTCCCACACCTGGAAAGAGCCTTGTCTATAAAAAGTGGAAAATTTGGAGAGGTCAGTGTCTCCTCGGGTGCAGGGGCAATGAATAATAACAAAGACTAAAGCCAGCTGATTTTATAACAATTTAGAGATAAGTGGAAACTTTCGTTACCTATGATCCTAAGACAAAACATGCCAAGTATTATCATGAAAAAAATTTACTACTCAAAAAATATTAGTTTACCTGGACAATATTTTCTTTCTCCCCAAATGTCGTGAGAATCTAATTAGGAAAAATCAGAAGTACAAAAGGGAGGTTTGGGATATACAAATGAATGCCAGACCTGAACTTGAGCTCCTAGCATAGGCTGTGAAACCAGGGCTACTCAAGAACTAAGAATTTCCTATGCTGCTTATATGTGTCAGGTAGAAAAGGAAAAGTTGGGCAGGATAGGAAAATGACGGGGACAGATGTGAAGGGATTTTAGCAAGTGGGTGATGCTGTTATACAGGATGTTAAGGAGACACAAAGACCTGGATTTAGGAAGTCACTGCTGTACAGTTGATGCTAAATACGTGATGGGGAATAGAAAAAGCAGAGAAAGACAACTGGGAATACTGTTTAGAGGTCAGTGTTTTAAAAGTATGTTTTACTATTATTCAGGCATGGCCAACCAGAATAATCAGAGGCCAATAGATCTGGAGATCTATTACAATAGATCTGTTACTTAAAAGAGTTTGTTACTCACAGGTCCCAGGTGAGGAGACATGCCACACTTCATAGGGTCACAAAAGGAAACACCAGAGTCAGTGGGATAGAGGTGATAAGGGAAAACACGGCAAGAACTCTTTTACTGTGGTTCCCACAGAAGGTAATAGTAGGGCAGTATTTAAAAGGTTGAGGAACAACTAGTTTGAATAGTTTCACCACACTCCTGGGAACAGGGATCATCTGTCTGGGATCTGGACCTGGGGTACTCAACGCAAATGGAAAGCCCAAAATAAGAGAAGATTAGGATTCGGGCTCTGCATGGATTGGTTCACATATGAAAGGGATTCACACAGGTGAGTTCTTCAGTATCTCCATGAACTGACTAGCCTTTGGAAGGACATCTCCTCAGAGTCAGCAAGGCCCCAGGTGGCATAGCATTGAACATACACTTAATACAACAAGAAAAGGAAGAATAAGCAACACAGCAGTATAACAGCAGTGCCAACAGACACTATCCCAGGAAGTGCAAAGGGTATGCTCTAGAGTCAAAGATCCTGACATGAAGGACTGAAATCAACCATTTTATTTGGCATGTGCTTAGCACAAGGAAGGTTTCAACTCTTCCAGGACAGACTCCACAACTCCTCTATCAAGACCAAAGAGCCCTCAGCACTCGCCATGCCCCACAGGGTATCTTATGGAGGAACAGGGAGAGATGAAGATAGACTTAGCTCTTTTATCAAAACATGCCAACCAGTTTAAAGGGCACCTTAAAAACCACAACACAACAGTTGTGTAGATAACACACCAGCTCCCTTAGCAAAGGCAAACTAATTTTTCTTTATATAGCTTGCGTGTAGGCTGAGCTAAGCTTTAGCAATCCACTGCAAGTCTTTTAATAACATAAATGTTAACTGATCTGTAATAAGAAGGCTACAGTTTTATGCATCCAAGGGTCAGTGACAGTCTATTCCAAGCCCAGCCTCTCCTACCCTTGTAAGCTGGGAGCTGCCATGGTGCAGCTGAATGACACTGGCTTCTCACAGTCTTACTCACTCAAGCAAATTCTTATTAAGGAAAAGCATCTCCCAGTCCTGAAGGAATTTAGACTGCCTTTCTCAATTCTCATAATTCCTTATTCTATTATTTATATATATATATGTGTGTGTGTGTGTGTGTGTGTGTGTGTGTGTGTGTGTATGAGTATTTTGCCAACATGTACATAAGTGCACCCAGGTCATGCAATGTCTGTGGAGGCCAGAAGAGAGTATTGGTTCCCCTGGAATGGGAATTACTGATGGTTTGTTAACTGCTATGTGGGTGCTAGGAACCATCCTCTGCAAGGGCAGCCAGTGCTCTTAATGACAGAGCCACCTCTACAGTCCCTAATTCCTTACTCTTTACCCATTCTCCCTCTCCTCCCACCCAAAATAAAAAAACAAGAGTTGGGAAAAAGTTCATTCTAGGTAATGTGATTTAGGTTTGGGTCTGACTGGTCTCTTTTCCTGAGACTATACCTTTGAAAACCAACTCATTTCCTTTAACTGATCTCTTTAGTTTAGGCATAAAAGTTATTTCATATAGAACAGAATATTTATTTCCTCAAACTAGCAAGGCTGCAGCAACTTCATCTCTCCTGCAGCTTTAAATGAGAAAATTCCCTTTACTTTCTTTTTAGAAACACATTTGTACAGAACAAATTTGTGCTTAGAGAGAGACATTCAGTGGCTTTCTGGCATTATTTTAACATCATTTAGAAAGAGGATGGCAAATTAGAGGGACCTAATGTGGAACTGCATAGGTAGACTTTAATAGCTTTAAAATATCAAAAGGATTATTAAAAGCACCACAGGATGGGGTTTTAGCTCAGAGCCAAGAGGACTTCAGAAGGCATTTTAGTAGAAAGGTTAAAAATGAAACAACAGAAGGCTAAGAATGACACAGAAGAATGGTTTTAAAGCAAGAACCGCAAGAGCAGAAAGTCACCAGAAGCAAGGCCAGCACAGACCAGAACATCATGTAAACATAGTAGCCAAGGCAGGACTTGGGCTCCCCCTAGAGGGCTGGGCAGAATTTAACTCACAAAGAAAGAAAGGCAGAGGAGGGAGCAGAGCATCACACAAGCAGGAGGGGATAACAGCTCTAAAGTTAAAACAAAGGAGATTTCCAGTCACAGCTGGAGTTACAGTGAAAACATGCAGGAATCTGAAGAAGAGTTGGTAATTCAACTGAAAGAGGGCGATGGTCCTGGGCATCTTTTCTCTGACCATAGTTTATTCTACGTCTGGATGGCCCAAAGTCTGGCTTTCTAAAATGTGTCTAGGAACATTCTGTGATCACATAGAAGTTGGTTTATAACTCTAATGGGGGGGGGTGATAAACTTTCTCTCCAGAAGAGACTTGTGGTTTAGCGACTTTATTCTTTTCATTTTGTTTTGTTTTGTTTTGTTTTTTGAGACAGGGTCTCTGTGTAGGCACAGCTGGAACTCACTATGTAGACCAGGCTGGCCTGGATCTCGATAGAGCCTGCCTCCTGAGTGCTAGGATCAAAGAAGTACATCATCATGCCTGGCTTGTTAACTTTATGTTTTTGTTTAGTGCTTATAATAAGGACAGACAGGTCCTTTCATCTCAGGTGAGCATTTGTCTGTAGGAGTTAGTGACTGCAACCAAATGTACATGTTCACACCAAGTGAGAAAAACATGCTGGTAAAAGTAGCATTCTGCAGTTGGTTCTCAACTCCAGGACCTGGCATTTGCATCCATAATAATCAGTGTGACAAAAGTGGCAAGATCTGGAACTGATATTAGGGCTCAAACTTTAAAATAATTTTCATTTTTAGAAATTAGAGCAGATTCAGCATTTCTTCATCACAAGGTCATCTTACCCACATTCCAACTAGCCATCTGAGTGAGGAGCAAGGAGGAGTTACATCGTGACTGCTTATAAGGTTACACTGTCCTCTTCTCCCCCTAAATTTGAGTGTAGCCAAGCGACTAGCACACCTCCATCATGTGGGCAAGACAAGAAATGGTAAAAGCTGTTGAGGAATGTCAGTCCTTCAGAGTCAAGGTCACATGACTGCCTCTAGTCATAAAGCATGCCACTCCTTAGAAAGTTCATTAGAGTTTACTGAAATGTTCCTTGACTTTTCTGAAGACACTTCTGACCTATACCAAAAGCATATTAAAGGACAGTTCATAGTCACCCTAATTCAGTGACCCTGGAATTTGCACCACAGTTACAAGGCTCTCTGCCAATAGTGGTGGGAACAAATCCATAAGCATTTCACAGTTCACTCTAACACTCTCATGACTTGTGCTTTTAATCTTTCAGAAGATGGATGGTGGGGGTGGGGGCTAGGATGATCCCATAACTTCTGAGAACACATTATAGCAGGTATAAAAAGCCAAGGCTATAAAGTTAGACAGATGTGGATTCAAACCTAAAACTACATTTGCCACTCCTGTGACCCTGAAAGGTTATCTGACTGCTGTGCCTCAGTTTCTTCACTTATAAAATGGAAAATAACAGTATCTATCTTACAGAATCTTCTGAAATTGAACTATAGAAAGTAAGGCATTTCTTTAGTGCAACTCCTAACATAAAATATATTCTTAACAGTTCTATCAGCATAGTGTTGCATTACTAGTATAAAACTTCCTTTTTTAAAAAGTCTGAATTAACTATTCATTGTCAGTTCTTAGCTAATAAGTTGCTGTTTTTATGATTACACGAGTGTTTCTCTTAGAATCTACTTTCTCACCTAAGAAATAAGGACAATTCCACACTTCACAGAACTGAAAGAGTCAACAATATAGGACAGTATTCTGATACCTGAAGAGATCTACACACAGAAAAGCTTTGAACTGACATTTTAATCTGCAACTTCTTTCTTAAATAAGCTTGTCACTCTTGCCAAGGATAAACAAAGGCATGTCAGAATCTCCATATCATGACTCAAGTCCTGTACCCAAGCCTCTTCCAATTAATTTAATCATACAATGATTCAATATCTTCATGTGACAATGATTCACATGTTTTAATCTGCCAAACGTTGCTTCCAGATTATTTTCAGAAATGGCTACTGAGCTCCTTCTTAGCAAAGTCACGACTTAGATAGTGGATGTGAGTTATGTCTTTCTAACTTAAGCACAATCATATGTTTATTCCTAATTTAGATCATCTACTCATTTAGTAGAAAATTAGAAGCATCGTGGTACAGCTGATGAGGCATGCATGTCTGGGACTTGAACAGTAATGGAGTCCTGTAGGAGCTGGATTTCATCATCAGTGGTGTCTCTTACAATTCTGAACCTGCATCAGAAAAATGGGACTAGCATGCCTACCACTGAAGCAAGACAGTGAACGTAAGGTACCGAGCACAGTCCCAGACACAGGACATATTCTCTAACAAAGAACAGTTTATGATGGCACATGACCGAACTGACTCACAGGTCACAGATGCCAGCTCGAGCAGGAATGAGAGGCACGAGTTGCAGCAAAAGCTTGACACCATTTTGCCATTCTTCTTCTCTTTCAAATTCACAGTATAAGTAGCTACATTCATCCGAGGAAAACTGGTAAAACACATAATTATCTTGAAAGTATAGATGCTGGTCCACTGTTTGAAAAAAAAAAAAAACAAACGAAAAAGTATGTGTTTTAGAATCATAAATCAAATAACAAATTGAAAAGACCAATTATTAGGGAGAAACCAAAGGAAAGACTAATTATACATCCAAACCCCGCTGATGCTTCCACTCCCACTAAAGACTCAGTGGTTAGTTTGTTTCATTGTCTTGATGCTTTGGCCAATACACTCATATGTATTTTATAAGTTTCTGCTTCATAGACAAGTGGGGATAAAATTAGTATCAATTCAAAGAGGGTGACAAGAAATGTTTAGGGTCTCAGAGCAAACTACTAATAATACCTTTAATTTCTTTAGGGATATACAAACACATATAATAAGTTTCAGTTATCAAAATTAATGGTTCTCAACTGGGGGTGATGTGGACCCTGCTTTAAGGGACACTTAGTGGTGTGTAGAGACATTTTTGGTTGTCATAATGAGAGTATGTGTGTTACTCATATCTAAAAAGAAGAAAAAGATGTTTCAAAAAAATCCTCTGATGTACAGGATAGCCCCATAACAAAGAATTGTCCAACTCAGAATGTCAATACTGTGAAGACTGAGGAATCCTGTTTTAAAGGAATCAAAACTTAGAGAATTTCCAGAAGGCATTGACACAAAATATGTTGCTAATCTGTAGCCTGATGCTAGCCAGTTAGCTAATAATAGCTCTACCCCTCAAAAGTAGTTAATTTGACTTTGTATAAATAAGAGTATTAAGTGGAGGTACTATTTAGTGTCTAAGAAAAGTATAACCATGTCCCTAGCTATACCAGTCTTTCATACTGATACCAGGGGTATGCCCTCAATACTTATCATCTACAGAAAAAAAGAAAAAAGAAAAAAAAAAAAAGGCTTCTTAGAACTTGAGAGACTGAGCTAAATAACTAGCCAAGATTGCTTAGCTTCCACCCTTCAATTTCCTGAGCTCAATTAGGAAAAAAGAGACTTCCATCTATTTTAGCTTCTAGTTAACATCTATTTTTTGTCCTGTTTAAACAACTTATCTTCACAGCTCATATCTCTAAGTGTTCATGATTAGTTAATTATGATGGCATACACATATGACTCATAAAATCAGTTTCTGATGATTACATACAGCATGATAAATCATTCATTTGAAGCAACTAAAGATATCACTGACCAAAAAAAAGTTTATTTTGAAGAGAGACTGGAAAGAAGGTAGACTTCTACAAATTAAGAAGTTGATTTTCACAGAAGGTGTAGGAAAAAATAAGTGACTTGTCCCCTTAACTTAGAAAATAAGAAAGAATGCAAACATTTACCTTCAAAAACAACTGGTATACAGATTATAACATCCTCTAGCAGATCAAGTATATTTCAGTCTGACAGCTTAGCACAGTAATGATGCTTTGTCTTCAAAATCTATAACACTAACCTGATGACATAATTCCCATATCCAGTAGGAGCTGCCAGACCCCAATGGCCATAGATCTGCACTCAACGAAAGGACAATGCTCTAGAAGCCAGTCGACCAGCTCCGACCCCACGCAGCTTCTCCTGGACAAAAGCAAAGCCACTCACAGTGAGAAACTCTTGCTACATTAGAAAAAAAAAAAAAATACTTAATACCATTTCTTTCACGTGCCTTCTTTAAAATAAGCAAGTCTATAGATTTACCAGAAGGGCAGACAGGGGGGAATGGATGAGGGTGCTGACAACACAGTGGACAGTGACAGGGATGGCAGAGTATGGAGCCTCTAGTGGGAGAGGAAGCCTGTCTATCTGACGAGTTTGTAATCATGCTCAGATGCCAAGGAGCTCAGAAGGTGGGCGACTGTGACCAGTGATAATCATGTATATAGAGATTAGAAATGCATGTGAAAACATCTCAATGTCAATTGCCTTGGAATGAATTCTTCTGTATGAAAAAAAAAAAAAAACAAGTATCTTCTTGAAGTCCCTCAAATTAAGGTAAAGAATAAGAACAAATCATTCTGGAAGAACGCAAAGGAAAATAGCTTTAGATACTTAAGTGACAAT